CCAGTATGGCATACAGTATAAGAGCACAGAAAATCAGCATCTCAGCAAAACTAAAAAGGATGTGTGTTGGCAAATAGAATCTACTTTAATTCTACAATTTTACAAATAGGGTAAAGAAGGGTGATTAATTTTTTATTTCTGCCTTAGTTTCTCCCACTTTAATTCTTATTTGCTAGTCAAGAACTATCCTGGGGAACAGAAGTAGACAAGACATTGGAGGATCAAAAAGTACACCAGAGAATGAATTTCTAATTTCTTATCTCTTTATGCAGCAACTGCAAACAGTTTCATGGTTCTCTTTGTCCAGAGATGAATGAGTGTGATTGTGTGCAAGTGAGAAATAGATAACTCCATGACACTTTTACATGATTAACCAAGATTGTACAAGCCTTCACAGATATCAGTGTAGCATGATGCTGTTCAGTACTGAATCAATTGACTCTTCCAGATACCACCTGTCATCCTTTCTTCATGCTGTTTTCCTTCAAATGTGAAACAGAATGGTCTCAGGAATTTGTAACAGAAAAAAGATTTCTCTTTCAGTTTAATGTTATTTTTTTCTGTGACATCTGCAAAAAGAAAGTAATCCAAAATTGTTGGCTCTATTTATACGAGATACTTTCACTGGTCATAGCCAATGATTAGTAGCAAACACAAACATTGAAAAAATTAAACGAATCTCTTCATTTGATCAAAATTAAATGTAGGGATTCGTAAACATGATGCTTGAGAATTTTTTAGAAAATGGAAGGCCTTTCTCGCCCTCCTTCATCCATTGCTAGAGATGAGTAAGGTGTATTTTACAAATATAACTAAAGGAGAAAGAAAAATTTTGCAGAAGCAATTGTTGGAGAATACATATTGAATTCAACAGTCAATGAATATGTGTAAAGAAAAAAATGAAAATAAGCATTGTATATTAATCCCACTGTAGCAGATGAAGATTATAAAGAAATAATATGTAATCTTAATTAAGATAGGGTCATAATATTTGTTTTGGGAATATTCTTGTGGTGCTTAACCCAGTCTGGTTGCTGATGTTCTGATGTTCAACTTTACATCTTGATAAATATTTTTATGTTATTTCACATTAGCAATGAGTGCTCTAAAACCATAAATAAATAAAAAATGCATTTTATATTTGAGAGTGATAGCTATTCCGATTTTCTCCAGGTTAAATAGAATTCAGGTAACTAACCTAGAAATTGTTAGAGGCTTCCAAATTGCATGCATTTAATTTTAAGGCTATTTTTACCTTATATTTCCCATTTGCATTGGTATGCATTAGTTCCAGTAATTGGATTTCCATCCCTGGCAATTTTCAAGAGCAAATTAGATAGAAACTTGACTGGGCTGGTTTAGTAAGGGATAAACCTGCCCTGAGCAGGGGCTGGACTAGATGATCACATGAGCTCCCTTCCAGCCCTGCTTTCCTGTGATCCTATAACTGATATAATACCTTATATCACACCAACAGGCTGGGGAACTCCCTTCTCACCAGTGTCAAGACAGAAAAGGATCTTGGAGTCATCATTGATGCCACGATGAACATGGGCCGACAAGGTGGGGACGCGGTCAGGAAGCCCAGCCACATCTTGTCGTGCATCCACAGAGGCATCTCAAGCAGGTCCAAGGAGGTGACCCTCCCCCTCTATGCGACACGGGTCAGGCCACAGCTGGAGTACTGCATCCAGTTCTGGGCGCCACGCTTCAGGAGGGATGTGGACAGCATTGAGAGGGTCCAGAGGAGGGCCACTTGCATGATCAGGGGGCAGCAGAGCAGGCCCTACGAAAGGCTGAGGGACCTGAACCTGTTCAGCCTCCAAAAGAGAAGGCTGAGAGGGGATCTAGTGGCAGTCTCCAAATTAGTCAAGGGGGACCAGCAGGCATTGGGAGAGTCCCTGTTCCCCTGAGCACTCCCGGGAGTTACAAGAAACAAAGGACACAAGCTAGCGGAGGGTAGTTTCAGGCTAGACATTAGGAGGTGCTATTTCACTGTCAGGGCAGCTAGGACCTGGGACCAACTTCCAAAAGAAGTGGTGCTGGCTCCTACTCTGGCAGTCTTTAAACAAAGCCTGGACGAACATCTGGCTGGGGTCGTTTGACCCCAGTACTCTTTCCTGCCACGGCAGGGGGTCAGACTAGATGATCTCCTCAGGTCCCTTCCGACTCTACCGACTATGAAACTATGAAAGCTTGTATTAATTTTGGGAAGGACTCAGAATGCTGATTAGACTTATAACCTGCCTAAAGAATATCTAATAAATGCTTTTCAATTTTAAGGGGAATTGAATGAATTATTATTATTGAAGAATGAAGGCCCACCTTCAGATTTCTCTTTTTCCCTCTGGCAGTATGTAAATAAAAATCTATAGCACCATAATGCATCCATTTCTTATACTACTTTAAGAGGACAATTATGAGATCTTGGTTGTGAAAGAGAATGCTATGTTAAATGCTATTGTTTTAAAACACAATTTTTACTATCTTTAGGCACCCAGATGGCATATTTTTAATAAAAATATGGGCTAAAATATTATTCAATTTCTTAAGAATTTTGCCTGTTAGGGAATTACTGTGACATTGAAATGCTGTAGATTAAAGCTGACATAACATATCTATGGAATTACACAGTATATATTTGTCACAGAGCACATCTCCATGTGCATTTGCTGTGGCACCAGTTTACTCATGAGTAAATGGTGCCAGGCAGATGTCTGTGCAGGGAAGCTGGAGCAGATTTACTGCCAATCTGCTTCTGTTTCCAGGGGCCCTGCAATGGGCCCCTGCCAGCACCAGGGGGAGCTCCAGGCTCCAGCTGCAGCTGCCACTAACTGGCAGTCCTTTTGAAAGGCAGCCCTGCTCACTACTCTCTGGCCAGCCACTGCCTTGGCTAGGAGCAGCGTGTGCAGTGCAAGGACAGTATGCGACAGTGCTCTTCTCACTGCTTCTTCCTCCCCATGTTATGGCTACTCCTCCAGCAACAACCAGCCATGTTATGGCTACCCCTGGCAGCAACAACCAGTGCCCCATGCTCCTGGCCTCCGCACTGGTCCTGCTGGCCCACTGCATCGACTGCCACCTGACCCATGGCTGTCTCACCCCTCCTGGCTCCTCCATGTATAGTGACTGCCTGTCTGCCCGCCATGTACCCTCCCAGGGCTGCCACTATGCACCTGCAGCCTCTACCCTGTCCACCTAGCTGGACCCCACCAGGGATGCCAATGATGGGTTCCAGGATGCCACCACTGGGGCTGCCCTTTTTCTCCTGGGTCTCCAGCCCTGCAGCCTCTGGAGGCCAGCCAGGACTGGTGGCAACACATCGTCCAGCACACCTGGGATGATAAGCAATGGCTGGAGTCCTTTGAGATGACCCGGGCCACCTTCTGGGATCTCCTGGAGCAGCTCCAGCCACACCTGGAGGGGCAGGACAACACCTTGTGGCTGCCTCTCCCCACAGACACACAGCTGGCCCTCGCCCTGCTGAAGCTGGCCATACCCACCAGCCTGCGGTACATTGGCCACCTGTTTGGCTTGGGCAAAGCCAACCTGACAAAGGGTTTTTGAACCCAAAAGCTTGCTTAAAAAATGTTTTCCAGCTATCTAAGTTGGTTTAATAAAATATATCAGATTCACTCAAAGAACCTTGTCTGCCTATGTCCTTAGATCAATATGGCTACAACCTACACCCCTATAAAAACTTAAAACATTCTTCCCCTGATCAAAACTCTATAAGAACCTGAAGTTTACTTACTAGAAATATGAAATAGCTCTATTTTTTAAGCGATACATAGATTTTACTTATTTAACATAATAGAAAATTTGCATAAAAAAATATTAAAAGACCTGGCTGAAAAGCTGCTTGGATTTTCTTCTTTTTCAGTAAATCTTAGAACACTGGGAAAGTTCCAGAGGACTTCAAGAAGACTAATGTTGTGCCAATTTAAAAAAAAAAAAATAAGCAGGAGTAATTACTGACCTGACAGACCTGACGTTGATCCTAGGGAAAATAATGGATTAGCTGATTTAGGCCTTGATTCCTAACAAATTCAAAGAGAACAAAGTAGGCAAAGCCAAACAACATAAGTTTATAGAAAATAGATCTTGTTAGAATAACTGGATATGATTGTTATGACTTTATTAGTTGGGTAGTTAAAGGTAATAGACTGCTGCAAAGTGTGTTTGTTACAGCACATTATCTTGATTAATAAACCAGACTGATACAAAATGAATGTGTTACACATTTAAGGTGTAAGAATTACTTAGATATTATGCATATGTCCTATGTGGGTACAAGTGTACACTATTAGGCATGGTGTCCACTACACCAAGTTATGTGTTATTCTTACCTATCCTATGTTAACTTTTTAATTTAAGTAATCATTTTAATTTAAAACATGAATAATCATGAAAAGATTAATGTAGGATTTTACACTTCCCCCTGCAGAAGTAAAATGAGAACCAGCAGCCCCTTTTTAATAGCAAAGCTTCATCAGTGCTTAACAATGAAGTTATGCAATGGCTCTAACTCTCTGTGGGATAGCTGGCTCGTCCACTTGAAAGCAAAAGACTGCCAAATCCCTGTGTTTTGGCTCCTAGAAATTCCTTGTCAGCTGGTTTATGTTTTTAATCTGAAAGTCCCTAAAAATATTCTACTACCTGTTTTCTATTAATGAGGAATTTAAAGCCTTTGTGGTATTTATGGTGAAAAGAACCAGTACTGCATTTTCACTATTTTTAGCTTTTTATTTTGTTTACAACCAGAGGAATTATTAGTGTTTTCACTGGTTTTTATAACATCTGGGAAAAAATATTGAAATGTCATTGCTGTAGTGTATTAGTAAAATAAGACAAGTATTTGAGAAGGTTGCTTTTTAGTAGAAGTTTATTATTTGTGGCCTTATCAGTAACTTGAATGGCATGAATTTGAAATATTAAATGTAGATTTAAATTTGCAGTTCTTGCCAACTTAATCGTAACAAATACCCTTTTTTTTACAGCCAACAATCAGCTGAAGACCTTGCAAGAGTACCTGTTAATTCTACCAGCAATATCTTGAATAGGCTATTGGTCACTTATGATCCCAGGATAAGACCAAATTTCAAAGGTTTGTCACATTTTAGACATTTTCTATCATTTGAAGTTAACATTTCTTTTTCTCTTATTCACAAACAGAAAGTCAGTGCCAACTAGATTTCTAAAACAATTATGTAGGATTACATTTCTGAAAAGGATGTGAAATTGCTGAGGTGCACATACCCTTTTCAGCTGATAGATATTCCATGATGCTGATAATGCATAGAGTATTTAGGGTGATATCTTAAAGTTTTAATGTAATTACTTTGTAATATTAATGACATTTATATAGGTTTTAGGAATGATTTTTATTTAGTGTTTAAATATGATTTTCAATTTTAAGTATCTTTTTACATCCTAAACAGTTTTACTGACCTTTTATGCAGGTCATTTTCGGTAATCTTGCTTTAGAATGTGCGACGTACAGAATTAGTAGTTCCAAAATCAGACAGAAATTAGATGGGTGCAATTCTTTTAAATATGTGTTGATAAACATTATTGATATACTTTTGAATTGCATCTGGTTCATGTGTTTATGTATGTTTTTCAATATACGGCTTTTTTTTTTCTAAACAAGTGACTTTTTTCCTTGGTGGCAAATATAACTCCGTTCTACTTACAGTAATTAAAGGACTACATGTTTTCTACAAAATATCTAATAATTCACACAACTGCAAGATAAGCTTTCCAGGAATGAGATTCTTTTCCCTTGAGAAAGTATAAACAAATTTATTATAAGTTCTTACATTGCAGTTTGTAAAAGTGACATTTGCTCCACTAAAAATTAACTATATGTGTGTGTGTGTGTGTGTGTTTGTATGCATGTGTGGAAATATAATCATAACACAGGCATAGAGAAAGCTACTCTAGAGAGCTATAATCTTGATTATCTTTCTGAGCAGACTTGTATCAATTTGCCATTATCAGCCACAGGCTTAAAGCTTACCAAATTTTTCATTTATTTTATGCTGCCAGTCTAGAAAAAAAATCAAGACTGAGGAAAAAGAAGACAACTGTTACATCAATTTTTATGAAAGTGGAAGAAGAAGAAAAAAACCCAATATTTTTAACAAGTGATTACCCACATTAAAATATTTCTCAGCCATGACTGATTTACTTGGCCAGCATTTTGTGTCCAAACCTTTGAGGAACTGAAGTAATTTGGAGTATAGAGCATTCTTGCACTTGCAGAAGTTCTCAGCACACCATAGCATCAATCCTATGCATAGCATGGAAGCCAGGCTTTCACTGGTTAGTGTTAGTAAGAAATAGCAGCACTAAACATTAAATAGAATGCATATTTCTGTAATTGAGTACAGTGTACAGTCATCTCAGTGACTTGCAAGTGAATTTACAAAATTACAACATTGAACCTGATAAACTTAGTGCACAATCAAACCATAAGGTGGTGTATTATTGCTTTTTCATTAATTTAATTCCTGAACAAATAGACTGATTCTGATCTCAGTGGGGAGTTAGAGGCTGTATAAAAGAGCAATATAAAAACCTGCCCTGTGCTGGCCCCAGCAATATAAAAACCTGCCCTGGTGAGCAGCTACTTGCCTTTAGGAGCTTCTGAGGCCCAGCCACTTGGTATCTGGGGACACTACCCCTTGTGCCAGCTGGACTGATGAAGGAGCCCTAACCTGGAGTGACCCCTGCACCCTCTACCCACTGCAGCAGTCTGGAAGTGGGGGCTGCTGCCTGGCTGTGACCTGCTGCCACCTGTGGCAGCATCCGCCCCCTTGGACCTGTGGCCCTATGGATGCACCCCTGCCAGACACAGATGGGGTGCCTCTGTTCTGCCAACTGGGCAACTATTGCCCAGAAGATGTGCTCCTTGCAGTGGCCTGCTTTGAACTATCAAAGCATGTCCTCTTGGCCCCAAATGGAGCCCCCCCCCCCCCCCTTGCATGGCCCACAGTTCATCCACAGAGCCACATCCCCCCCTATAGGGTCACAGCTTCACTCTACAGGGCCACAGCCCCCCATAGGGCTCATATGCCCCCCTGCAGAGCCCACATGTGCCCCTACAGGGTCCACATGCTTCACTGCACAGCCCACAAGTCCCCCTGCAAGCCCACAGGCACCCCACCATACACACCCACATACCCCCTCCTGGCATCCCCCCCACCCATGGCGCAGAGCAGCACAGCTTGGCCCCAGCCCCAGTTGCCTGCCACCCAGCACTGCCTGTGTCACATTGTGCGGGCCTGGCCCAGCTCAGCATGAGGCCATGTGCCTTTGGGCAGCTCTGGGCCACTTGAGCTCTCACCCAGGGTTCAGTGCTGCTCTCAGGGACCATGTGTCATGCCGGGCCGGGTCCTGCCTCCATGGAACTAGCCCAGCCTGACGGCGCATGGAGCCTCTGCATGTACATGCGGGCTCGTCTGGATGCACCCTTTGTGTGTGTGGGGGGGAGCAAAACTTAGACCAAGTTCTGCCATTTTTAAACCAGTCCGTGTGTGCTGAACTTTTGTTATAGGTATAGACCAGTTTTTGATCACTTATGATGGTAAAAGTATAATGTCCCTACCTGGTCTTAGGTCACAGTGAGCATGGTTGAAGAAGAAGCAGCAAAAGTAGAACATGCCAATGCCCTGACAAATTTTGGTTTCTAGAATATCCTTTTGGCAAGTTGGAGTCTGCAAAGTAGAGAAGCCTTGTGCTAGGGACTGATAAGCTGTAAATGGTGTACTTTTAGCCTCTACACAGACATACTTACATATGATAGTAGAATAATTATGAGAATTGAAAAATGTACAAAGTGCACAAATATTCTCTCTTTAAAGCTTTAGGCTAAGCAGTTGTTCAGATTTTTATCAGTAACATGAAAATAGTTCATATAAGTCTCAGTTACTTTTAGTAACTGTAGAAGGATTAAATACCATTTCCACAGACCAGCAAATTATTTTATTCATATTTACACAAAATGTACTTTGAAATTATCTGGCTTTGAAATGGCCTTCAGGTGAGTATAATTTATATATAACTTAAGGACTCTCTTCCACTGCCAGGATAGTATACATTTTCACTAGTTCAGAAGAGGATTGCCCTATATGTTGAACAATAGAGTTAACTTTTTTTTCATTTTTTTTTTAGGGATTCCAGTTGACGTAGCGGTCAACATTTTCATTAACAGCTTTGGATCAATTCAGGAGACAACTATGGTAAGAGTATAATCTGATGAATATTTACATTTAACTCATGCAAAATTTCTAATTAAATTCAATTAAAACTTAACCTTTTCTAACCAGAGGGTTATGATTTATACATATAAATGGTTACTTTGTTTATACACAGACAGATTGGGATTTATAGAGGGACTCGCTATCTTTATGCCATAAACATAGCTATCTGTTGTATTAGTTATTCATGAATAATTCTGTTTATTACTTTTTAGAGGATTTGGAATCTGAAAGCAAAAATGTATTTGAAAGATAAAAATAAAGGAATACTGTTGGCTTCTGAAAAGTGTGAAATATGGTTTTATTTTAATTAAGCTATTCAGTTCAGGAGGAGGTGAGGTTTATTAGCATGAAATCAGTGACCTCTTTCAGTGTCATTTTGTCACTATTTGTACAGTTATTAAGGAGAGAGATTGGACTAGATAAGGAAAATAAGTGGCTGTACCAAATATAATATTTAGTATATAAGTTATTTAATTTCTGCAGGAGCCTGAGGATATAAGTAAGTACTGTGGAAAAATAGAAGAAAAAGTAGAGGAATAAAGTATCCATGCAGATTTGAGAACTCTTTCCTTTGTTTGTTATAAAGGATGCAAGATAGAGTAAACTGAGGACTACACAAGAATACTAAGGAGTTACATCAATCAGTTAAAGGGATAAATTGAATGCTAAAGCTATAAATTCAGTAATTGCCCACGTGAATATTCCCATTCAGGAATAAAGAGAGGTGGTAAGCTCTTTTAATTTGAACTCAGGCAGAAGGTAAGACAGGGGAGCACCTTAGAAACTAAGTAGTTTAGGGGTAAAACGATTTAAAAATACTTTACTCCTAAGTGAGTACATTCATGGTGATGATTAATTTATTTTGACTCATGCAAAGTGATTTAACACCTGTAGTTGAATTGCTATACCATTTCTGAGCCCCATGTAAATGACCCTGTATAGCTGGGGGTGTTTTCTGACTGATAAAATGAAAAGCACTCTGTTATGGACAAAAAGTACCAGGTCCAAAAGGGTGCTTAGGAGCCTATCTAATGCCTATGTTTCTCTTGTGTAGCCCTCAGTGAGGGTACCTAAATAGGCATTGGGTGCTTCAATACTTCTCTGGACCTAGCCCCAACATTTTTGCCTGGTTTTGAGCAATATGTAGTATCTTAGTTCACATTGACAGAACTAATGTGAACGACTGGCATTTCAGTTAGAAGAATTAGGAATTTTATTAGAGAATGGGGACTCTGTTTTTAAGGATTTTCCATTTTCTCCAGTCTGCTTCAGGCTTCTGTTCCTTGCTGGCTCCATTCCACTTGTTAGATTCAGATGCAATAAATATCAAGGCTAGCAATTTGGTATTTGGACAAGTACCTGTAACTTATATACAGCACACCCTATATCTGAATCATAGAATGCATGGACCATTTTGACGGTTGCATTCCATTCCAAACTCACATCTCATTTACTTTTCACTCTCACTTTTTACATTGTCTCTGTATACTGGTTTCCAGATGTTTTTCTCTCAAGTTGAATATCACATTTTGGATCATTTCCCTAGATCTATTACCTTGCATATTTAAAATATGAATCTTTTAATTTTGATAAAATGTTAATAATTTTAAGTCCCATTTATATTATAATACTTTCCTCAGTCATGTTTGCAGCTCTGCTAATATCCTGCAGGATTGCAGTTTAATCTCTGAATTTCATCAGTTTGCCTTTGTTTCCTCATCTCTCTTGCTTTCTTCTACTTTGGCAATCCCTCACAGTCACGGGACAATCATGATTGTCTTCCATGATTATCTTATCTGTGGGTCTGAAGATGGCTGATGAGGCCAATCTGTGATCGACAGACTCTGTTGCAACCTGGGCATGTGTTTCTGTGCAGGGTGGGTGACTGGATTCTTGATTCAGGCTGTGACATGCTGTTTCTGCTGCTTCCACTTTTCTGTCTCCTGTTCTCATCATCTGACATCCTTGCAGCAGACTCTTCCTCCATTTGGGGGGGTCCTGTCACTCTAGAGGACTGTATTCAAACAAGACTAATTATAACAGTAATACTAGTCATAATCCACTACATTCCACCCAGCTAAACTCTACACATTAAATTCTGATATCTTCAGTTATCATTTCGTAATAAACATTCAACTTGCTTAGTATCTATTAGGGAGTGCTATTTCAAATTATTTGTTAAAGCCAATCATGCATAACCTATCATTCATTTATTGCTTTCATTTGGTAATTTTTATTGTCATATTTGTTCTGCAAGAGCTCAGCTTTTAACTCTTGTTATGTATTGCTAAAGTTGATCAGCAAATACATTTTGAGATTTTGACAGGAAAGAAAAGCAAAAATGTTTTTAATTAATATAATTTTTTTTTAAATGTTGTGGGTCAAAAAATGTTTCACATCAATAAGTTCAAAATGGCAAATGTTAATTTTTATTCTCTTATATTTCTATCAGATCAAGTATGCTTCAAAATGAAAAGTAATTTGACAACAAAAAATACATTTTTCATTGTACAAGTATCAAAGATGGCATTTTGACATCTATTTTTTTCATTTTTTTCCTAAATTAAATTGTCAAAAAAAATCATCAAAATGGTTTGTATGGCACCTTAAATTTAACATGTGGCCAAGCTGGCAATCAGCAGATTGTTGGTTCAGGCTGGGGACACCACCAGAGTCTGAAACCAAACACAGTGCAGTCCCCACTGGCCAACAACCAGCTGATTGCCAGCTCAGGACAGAGATCACAGGGTCCCAAACCAGCCCCAATTTGTGGTCCCTGCCTGGCCAACAATCAGCTGATTGTCAGCTTGGGTTGGGGACCTCACGGGTGATGTTCCCACTAGGCTGACGGTCAGCTCCAGCCAGAGACTGTGCTGGGGTGCAAATGGACTCCATTGCAGGCCCCACTGGGCCAACAACCAGCTAATTGTCAGTCCCCGATGCACACCTGTGGGCACCCAGCTTTCAACTTCCTGGTTCATTGGTAGGTAGGGTACAGTTAGGATCTGATTCCCTATCCCAAAATTGTACCTCCCACCATGCATGTCTGGCATGGCAGGATGCACAATTGCTGGGATTGGGGAGCAGATATCCTGGCTCATTTAAATGAATATCTGCCAGTAGCCTTACTCTTAAAATCTTCCAACTTCTCTGGTAGTTTGTCTCAGGGTAGGCACCCTCATAGTGAGAAGGTTCTTCCTAATATCCAACCTAAATTTCTGTTGTGACAGATGGCAATTCTGCATTTGGCAGAAGGGAAAAAGTGGATC